CACTTTAATTAATTAATTAATTCTATTAATTCCAATAGTTACTCCACTATAAACTTGGAATTGAACTCTCGAAATTATAGACATTAATTACTTCTAAATTGTGAAGTGTCTATTTGATATAGTCATTACATGTAGATCAATCCTCCATAAATAATTCATAATTGGAGTCAGGTAGAATCCGTTAACCTCTCTAATTATATCTTCATCCTTGAGTACCATTGATTATCTAATGAATAGTGATTCATAAAACACATTCATGAACCAGAGCGCTCTTACTAATCCAAGTACTGAATCAACACTCAAGAGAATTATTTATCTACTTCTTTCTTAAGAAGGAATGGATTTCATCTCGTATAATAACATTCTCGGCTACCTACTTCATCATGTATCCAAAATACAAGGAATAGGATTCAGGGTCTCGGAATCCGTATCGAGTAAATAAAAAAACACAAATCCATAAATAGGAGTTTGTTAAGAACCCAGGATTAAAATCATTCTATATATGACCATCGGTAGACTCAATTAGAATTTCTATGCTTAACGAAAATTATTAGAAATTCATATTGTGTCTGTGTCCCTGTTCCACACAGTCTCATTATGCGAAATACACTCATTCAATATCTCACCATATTAACAGTGCAGATAGCACCGTTCCACTCTAAATGGGAATGACATGTATTAATAATGTTTTAATTAAAGATTCTAAACTTTAATTAAATTTATTATGAACAATGTTTTTTATTATTATCCTTAAACATTATCCTCTCGTATATAACACTTATATACTATGTTTAACTTTACATAAATAATCACAGAATTTTTATTTGATATTCATAAAATATTCATAAATATATGCACATAAAATGATGAATAAACTCTTTTATTAATTAAATAATAAATATCCTATTACATCTCATGCTTCTAGAACACTATTCCCAACATTCTCTCCTCCATATCCGACTCAAAACATTAATGGGACGTTTGGTTCATGAATTCAGAATCATGATTCAGAACCATTCTCGTTTTACGTGTGTTTTTTGTGAGAGAAAATACTGTAGCGAGTCACGAACCATGATTCGAATCATGGTACGAATCCCCCTTCCAAACGTCCCATAAAATTTTCTCAAACTGTAACTCTCTCCTCCATGTTTTTTAGGATCACCGCTGCCGTCAGTGATTCATTACTCCGCCATCTCTTGCCTTTCAAATGATGTTAGTCTCACTTTCACACTCTCTCGCCCTTTAATTTTTCTCCATCTGTCTTTACAACTTTTCATCTTCTTCTATGAACTTACTGTGTTTTTTTTAGGGAAAGCAAGGTGTTCTTTTTCTCCTTTTTCGACCGCAGGAAGGAAAACTAGGTTGGATTTAAATGTACCCTAGCCACTCTTTCACTCTTGGGTTCTCAGATTATATGTCAGTCTGAAATTATCTCCTTGTCTGCTGATTGCATAGCAAAAGAAAAAAAAAAGATTGGTATGTGATAAATGAGAAATTATTTCATGATGATTCTGTGTTGTTGTTGTTGTTTTCTTTATTTTATTATATTTTTTTATGAGTATGAACTTCAGTTTGAATCATTTCTATCGATTCTTTATTTTTTTATGATTCTATTTTTTTGTTATTATGTTTTTTTGTTTGTTAGAAACTTACGTTGTTTTTTCCTTTTTGTACTCTGTGTACCTTTGTTTAGTGCTTCTATTTTCATGGTTCTTATGGTGATTTTATCGGAGCATGTTTCATAAATTTGAGTAGTTACAATATCGTAGACCTACTGTGATGGTTTTGTTTTGAATGTTGATGGATCTGGCTTGATATGTTAGATGGGTGAAGCTAACTACTTTTGTTGTATTTCTTTTGGTTGGATGAAACATTCTGCACAACCTACAAGTTGGTATTAGATGGACATAAGACATACAGATGCTTTTCTTGGTCCTTTTTTCATTTTTTCCCTTTTTTATTTTAATTTTGAAGTTGAAGTGTTATTTGACCTTTTATTGTTGTATTATTTTGGGTACTAAGGAATGAACTGTATTTTGTTTGACTTATTTTATGTTCTTCAATTCAGGGTTATTATTTTTCTTATATTGGTTCTAGATTCTCAAATATTAGTTAGACAAACAATTCAACGGTTAACTTCTCTAAATTGTGAACTTTTTCCAATTTGCTATTCCTATGGCGGATTTTGATAAAAAGCGACGTACTGAACAAGGTACCATTCTCTTTTTCACTTATTCTTTGTTTGTTGAATTGCCTTATGTCTACGTTACATGATGTATTTGGCATTTATTCATTTCTACAATAATTTTTTGTTCACTTATTCTTGAAGACTTTAAAGGATACAAACATAACGATGCTTATACCTTTAGGGAACTAAAAAAATTGTTGATTTTAACAATTCTCTTTTGTGTTGGGTACAATTTAACCATTTGTCAGTTAATATTTGGTTCTTAGTTCTAAACGATAGCTTCACTCTTTGAAGGTAGACATGCAGCTCTTTTAACTATGACATATAAAAGATAAGGAAGAACAAGTTCTTCGGGATCTATTTCGTCCAATTCATTGAATGTTTTTGTCTTTGTATTCTCTTATCATTTGTTGTCATTCCCACGTGTGTGCCCGGCAGTCTTCTTACTCTTTCTTCTTGTTCTTTCGTTGCATTCTTGTCACGCCCCCTCAAACGGGGTGGGTGACGTGGAGCTCCATTAGGGATTAATAAAGCAGATTCTCAAATGAGCCCCACTTAACTCCATTAAAATATAACATAAATTTCTAAATCTCGAGCTTCTGACAACACACAGGGCTCCACCCACAGGCTATATGGCATTGTACATACATGAACATGTAAATAATCAATTACAACCGATATCAACCACAGTCTAGTAAATCCAAATATTACATGAGTTTACAGAATTCTCGATTCCTTACATTTATGTCAGAGGGTGAACACAGTCCTCTCTTGTTCCAATAGCAGCACAACTTAGCTACTCCGTAGCAAATATCCAGCTACTGTGCACCGCTCATAGAATCTCCTGGGAGGGGTTTAATACATTTGAAACATAAAATGTGAGCGAAAGGCCCAGTAGGATATAGTTTGAAATGATTGTATAATTAAATGAATAATAAATGAGCAACGAATAAATAAATGAATAAGTAAATAAAATAAGACATTCAGTTCCGACAGGCAGCCGGAACCTCACATCCTTTTTCACAAAAGAAATATAACTAAAAATAACTGTATTACAGGCATCAGCAAGTAATTAGTACAAATTACTCACCTACCAAGTGCCTTGCCTATCCGGACCGAGTTTTGGGTTCTGCCCCCGAGGTGCACTCTCCGTATCCTATTTAGGCTTACAGCAATATATTCTTACCGGTTCATAAGATCTCTTATATTAAGAAATCAATCATTAAACATTATGAAATCGTTAATATGACCCCACGAACTACTCAAGTCGCGGGCCCCATGACTGGGCAAGCCATGAGGTTCCATTACTAAACAAGCCATGGTTTTTAAAGAGTTTTTCTTTCGCAAACCAACCCCTTTCTTTAAAACATTTCCAAGGCAGAAATCCTTTTTGAAAATAATCTTATATTAAGAAATCAATCATTAAACATTATGAAATCGTTAATATGACCCCACGAACTACTCAAGCCGCGGGCCCAATGACTGGGCAAGCCATGAGGTTCCATTACTAAACAAGCCATGGTTTTTAAAGAGTTTTTCTTTCGCAAACCAACCCCTTTCTTTAAAACATTTCCAAGGCAGAAATCCTTTTTGAAAATAGGCTCACATGGAAAAGAGATAGAAATCCTACCTCGAATTTACCAAACCTGTGGCTAGCGGTGCACTATCTCAGCTTCCGCTTCCTCCAGCCACTCAGTCTGAATCCTCAGCTATCACTGCTACAAGACAACACTTTAGGATCAATTCTTATTCCTAAAGCAATCCAATCTCAATTATGTACCAGATTTTCAATTAGTGTGCCCTAATCCGATTTCATGTTTCAAATTAGCATTCCAAGGATTTTCACTTTCAAAACAAGGATTAAAGATGCTAATCCACTTATCTCAAGTCCCCAAATGAAGCTAATTTGGGTTCTCCCTGAAAACAGGGGTCAAAACAGCAATTTCAGGACAAACATGGTCAAATCCCGTGTCAATCGGTCGACCGGTGGCAGAACAGTGCATCACCACCGGTCAACCGGTGGTGAGCAGTCCGGTCGACCGGAGCGGTCGACCGGTGGCCTTAGTGTAGTCTGGTCGACCACATCGGTCAACCGGTGAAGAACTCCAGTGCGAGAAAACTCACGGAAATCAGTTTGAAAACCTGCAAATCCAGTCCCAAACCAAAATATTTCAATGGACAATCACTAGATCCGGGTCCTAGGTCCTAAAACAAGTCCAAAGAACTCGAGATCTCCAATTTCTACCCTAGTTTTACTCAAAATCCGTAAAAATTCGTTTCGAACCAAAAATAAGTTTTAGAATCCAAAATCTAGAGATTCAAGAGAGGTTTTTCAGAAATCTTACCTTGAATTCATCTCTTGACGTTTAAAACGCTTTGAAACTTTCCTTTGGTTTGAAATCCGGTTGATTTTGAAGCAAACGGGAGAGAGAATGAAGAGAGAGTGAGAGAATGAAGAGAGAGAGACGGAAGGGTCTGAGAGAGACATGGGAGGAAAAGAAAAAGGAAGAAAAAGGAAGGAAAGAAGAAAAGAAAGAGAAAAGAAAATAGATAGGTACCAGCATTTAAAAAAAACAGTCCAGAAATGCGCTCATACACACTTCTGGGTTAAAATAAAATTACTGAGAATATTGAAATGCCTTAGAATTATCTAAATTACACGTCAGAAACATTTATTAATCAAAACCAATTAATAAATCTAGATTAGGCACACTAATAATTCTTAATTATCTCAATTAATCCCAATTAATTCTTTAAGGTGTTACAGCTCCACCCCCCTTAGGCAATTTTGTCTCTGAAATTAAGGCTTACCTCAAATTGCAAACAGATGCGGATACTGCTCCTGCATCGTCATTTCAAGCTCCCATGTCACTTCCTCAACTCCATGGTGCTGCCATAATACTTTCACTAACGGGATCTCACGATGACGCAGATTCTTTATCTTTCGGTCAAGAATCTGAATTGGTGCCTTAGCGTATGACGCGTCGTACTGTATCGGGACGTCAAACCACTGCACTACAGCTTCTGGCTCAAGTTGACATTTCCGAAGCATGGAGACATGAAACACGTCATGTACGTGAGATAATTCAGGCGGTAAAGCCAACCGATAAGCCACCATTCTGACTCGTTGCACGATCAGGAATGGTCCCACATACATTGGTGCAAGTTTCCCTTTCACACCAAACCGAACAACTCCCTTGCGTGGGGAAACCCTTAGCAAAACAAAGTCGCCTTCCTGGAATTCCAAAGGCCTACGCCTTCTATCAGCATAGCTTTTCTGACGACTTTGAGCTGTCAACAGTCGTTCTCGAATCACGGCTATCTTCTCATTGTTCTCTTGAATGACCTCCGGTCCAGTACTCAGTCGATCCTCTGGTTCCAACCAACAAACAGGTGACCTGCAAGGATGACCATAGAGAGCCTCAAACGGTGCCATACCGATACTGGCCTAATAGCTGTTGTTGTACGCAAACTCAGTAAGATGCAGGTATTTTTCCGGTTTCCACCAAATTCCAGAATACAAGCACGAAGCATATCCTCCAGAATCTGAATTACTCTTTCAGATTGCCCATCAGTCTAAGGATGAAATTATGCACTGAAGTTCAAGTCTGTTCCCATGGCTTCCTGAAAACTCCTCCAATACCTTGCATTGAAGCGGGTATCACGATCGAACGTGATAGATAGTGGCACTCTGTGTAGTCTCACGATGTGCTCCAGGTACAATTCTGATAGAATCTTCTGAGAATACGTCACACGAAACGGTATGAAGTGTGCGGACTTCGTCAACCTGTCGACCACCACCCAGATGGCATCGTGCGTTAGCTCGGTTCTCGGTAGCCTCATAAGAAAATCCATAGTGATGTGCTCCCATTTCCATCCAGGGACAGGAAGAGGTTGTAACTCTCCTGCTAGCTTCTGATACTCAGCTTTAATCCGGAGGCAAGTCACACATTCTGAAACATACTAACGAACGTCTCTTTTCATGCCTCTCCACCAGTACTGTCTTTTCAGGTCCTGGTACATCTTTGTACTTTCTAGATGTATAGCAAACTTCGATTTGTGAGCCTCTCACAGAATCATCTTCTTTACCTCATCCGCCTTAGGAACATCAAGGCGGTTGCAGAAATACAAGGCTCCATCCTCTCGGATTCTCCAATCCTCGAGTTGCTCTCCATTCTGGATTTGAATCTAGATGCCTTGGAGGTGTGGATCTTGCAATTGATTCTGCTTAACCTGTTGCACAATATCCGATGTAGAGCCCATATTATACACCATAGCCTGGTTATAATCTTTGTAGAACTGAAGATCATACTCACTCACCACTTCAGTTTTTTTCCAATCTTCCAAAGCTAATGACGCTAGAGTCCCCGTCGTCTTCCTGCTAAGGGCATCAGCCACCACATTAGCTTTTTCAGGATGATATTGCAGAGTGAAGTCGTAATCTTCCATATACTCCACCCATTTTCTTTGCCTGAGATTCAAGTCTTTCCGAGTAAACAAGTACTTCAGACTTTTATGGTCAGAAAAGACCTGAAACTTTGCTCCCTAGAGATAACATCTCCATATCTTCAGAGCAAATATTACCGCTGCCAGCGCCAAATCATGACTGGGGTAATTCCGTTCATGTGGTCTTAATTGGCGAGATACGTACGCTACCACGCGTCCCCTTTGCATTAAGACACAGCCAAGGCCACTCCCGGAGGCGTCAGAATACACCTCATATGGTTCTTCATTATCAAGAATAGTCAAGACTGGTGCACTTGTCAATCTGACCCTTGATTCCTGAAAAGCATTTTCACATTCGGCGTCCCACTGGAATCTGACTTCTTTCTTGGTCAACCGAGTCATCGGTGCAGCAATACTCGAGAAGTCTTTCACGAAACGCCAATAGTACCTTGCAAGTCCGAGGAAACTGTGAATCTCTACTACATTCTTTGGCCTTTCCCACTGTAGCATAGTCTCGATCTTAGAAGGATCGATAGAGATTCCTTGTCCTGAAATTACATGCCCATGGAACTTCACTTCTGTCAGCCAGAAGTCACATTTCTCGTTCTTAGCATACAACTAGTGTTCACGAAGAGTTTGAAGAACAATTCTCAAGTGCTACTCATGTTCTTCCCAAGTCTTCAAGTAAACCAGTATGTTGTCAATGAAAGCAATTACGAACTGATCCAAATACGGCCGGAAAACACGGTTCATCAAGTCCATGAATGTCGCCGGGGCATTCATCAGCCCAAAAGGCATTACAAGAAACTCGAAGTGCCCATACCAAGTTCTAAAAGCAGTCTTCGGAATGTCCTCCTCCTTAATTTTCAATTGGTGGTACCCAGACCTCAAGTCAATCTTGGAGTAAAACTGTGATCCACCCAACTGATCGAATAGCTCATCGATCCTTGGCAGTGGGTATTTGTTCTTCACGGTTACCCTATTCAATTGACGGTAGTCAATGCACAACTGGAGAGATCTGTCATGCTTTTTCACAAATAGCGCCGGGGCCCCCTAAGAGGAAGTACTATTCCGGATGTGTCCCTTCTCTGCTAGCTCCTCAAGCTGCTTCCTTAATTCTCTCATCTCCGCCGGAGGCATCCGATATGGAGGAATGGAAATAGGTGTCGTTCTCGGAACCAAATCAATGCAGAATTCAATTTCTCGATCTGGCGGCAACCCCGGTAGATCCTCAGGAAATACATCTGTGAACTCATCCGCTACAGGAATTCCCGCACTATTTCCAGTTATCTCGGGTTCACCTTCAAAAGTGAGAAGGGAAGAAAAACATGCTAGATTCCTTCGTCCCCCAACATTGTACTTCAACAGTCGTTCTCCCAAGACTGGGTTCGTATTTGCCTCATAAGAAATCACTGTTCCAGCTTAGTTATCAAAGTCACCCTTCTACGGTAGCAATCAACAATACCACCATACTTCGACAACCAATCCATTCTGAGTACCACGTCAAATAGACTCATCAGAAGGATAATCAAATCAGCTCTCAATCGCTCACCCCCAATCGTGATTTCACACGATCTACACATACTCAATACCTCCACACATCCCAGTGGGGAGTTTAAAGTCATCGGGACTTCTAAATTCTTAGATTTCAGGTTTAAAGTTTGAACAAAAGAACTTGATAGAAAAGAGTGTGTGGCACCTGTGTCAAACAACACGTGGGCAAAAGAATGAGAGATTAAAATCATACCCTCAACCACCGCGTTGCTGGTCTGACCTCCCGAACTGCCTCCTGCCAGGGCATAAGCTTGCCCCTGCACTTTCCCTTTCCCTCTATCACCAACATTAGGCCGTTGGGTTCCTGGCCTATATTGTTGTGGCGGAGGTGGTTGTACCGGTCTCGGTGCTTGGGGCCGAAATTGTGTATACTGAGGTGGTTGATAAGTTGGCACAGGGGGTATGGCATCTGTTGTGGCCGATAGGGTGGTATATACTGTGGTGGCCCCTCCTAACTATATGAAGCGTCACTTTGGGCTTGTTGAGCCGACGGCCGATTAGGATAATTCCTCCTAATATCGCCCACCTGCCCACAATGGTGACACTTAGGCCCGTATGGAGCACTTCTGTCACTTCCTAACAAACTACTGCCACCGCTAATCACTCCCCCACCAGGCTGTCCCTGGTTGCGGTTCCTTCTACCACTCCACTGTGGCCCACCGGAAGCAGATGGTTCGTCAGAAGCTGAAACTCATCCAGCTAGTTCTTTGCTTTGGTGATAAGCTATGCTATCCTGCTCCACCCTAGTAGCAGCAGCCACCAAACCCCGGAAATTTTGGATTCTCCAAGCCACCAATGGTCTTCTCACAGAGCTCTTGAGGCCTTTCTCAAACTTAAGACATCTAAGGTGTTCAGATTCCACCAAAGATGGCGTAAACTGTGATAGATCATTATGTTGGTAACCGAATCGAATTCGGATGCGGAAGTGTGGTGGGGAGGCGGATCAAGTATAACAAAAATTTTCATAAAACTTTTGAGATACTCTATAGATTATATTAATTTATGCACGAATAAATTAATCACATTAATTTATATGTCAAGAACTCAATTAGGAAAAATACTTGGAGCCGACTCGGATGATAACTTGAATTCTTTGACCTCGAACAATCCTTGCTCCAAGTTTTGTGTTTAGAAAACCAAAGTCTTCAACGTCAATTCCTTGATTCCACGTAGACGTGTGTGTGGGTACATTCGAGACTAAACCGGGTTTGATTGAACACTCAAATTTTCCACAAACACCAACGCATGCACGATGTGGAATTTTTGGGAGAAAAATTTTCCTTCTCTTTCTATTATAGGGAATTCGGCTAGCCCTAAAAAATTAGGTTAAAAAATTCATCCCGCGCAATTTTTCATCATCCCTTATTTATAGAGTAGAAGTCCAACTTCTAGAATGAATCAAATCTCTCTCTCCTGTTTGAATTTTGAACAAAAAATTCTCCTCTACCTTATCTATTGTGGCCGGCCATGCTAGGGATTCCTATCCCTGTGTGTGGCGCCAATTGCAAATAAGAAAGGAAGAGAAAATCATCATTTATCCTGTAGTCTAATTTAAATTCAAATTCAAATTCGAATTTAAGTCAAACTTAAATTAATTTGAATTCTAAATTGAACAACTTATCAAATAAGTTTAAAAGGATAAATTTAAATTATGTTCATGATTCAAATTCAAATTTAAACAATCACATTATTTAAATAATAATTAATTCTCAATTAATTATTTTTTGAGTATTTAATTTTAGAATTCCATAATTCTAAAATTCTCATTTTG